AGGCTGGAGTGGAAGGTGAAGTCTGGGCTGAGGTGATACGGTGGGTTTGGAGGAAGTCGGTGTAGTGGAAGAGACTGATGATGCAAACAATTGGCTTACTCGTTCTCCATCGATTTGGGATGCTGCCTCTAGAATATCAGGTGAATATGTTATATAGGGCAGATTCCAGAGATGTGGCAGTAAAAGCCTTGTACTTGACACAGAGTGATTTTCATGTGCGGGTGGAGTCGGAGTGATCTGGATATCGGGCATATTGCTGTTCATTGTAATGGCAAGTTGACAATCTGTGATACTAAAAAAGGAACCTTCGCTGATTGTTGAATGAGACAGAGTATCTGGTGACTCAGGTACTCTATAGCTCATGTAATTTTGACGCTTAGTAATGTCAGATTGGAGTCTAGACGTTTGAGCTGGAGCGAATTCGAAGGGCTAGAAGATGTTAAATGTACGGCGAAAGATGACTGAAGGTATACTAGAGATAATATGGAGGAAATTGAGGGTTGAAAGATGGTTAATCTAAGTATTTAAAAGGTCTAAAGGTTCGAGAGGGTACTAATGATAACTAAAGGTACTAGAGGTAACTTGAGGTGACTAGAGGTGCTAAAGGTAACTAGAGGCGACTATAGGTGACCAGAGGTGATCCGAAGGTGGTGGTTATGACAGAGGACTAAGCGTAAAGAACTCTATGCCTACAGACCAAACCATTGTATATATACCTGCCCTCCTTTCACTAGCTCATCCTAACATAAACCTTAACATAATATCAACATGATACCATGTGCCAAGAACTGTCCTGTTGTCATGGCAACATATGAAGAAAGGTAAAATTATATCCTAAAGAAAGGATCGGAAGAGGAATCCTTACAGCTATGCTAGCAAAGAACGAAAAAACACGACAAGAGACTTTACATGGCTCTTCGAAGCTGGCGAGTCATAACGTCAAACTCGAGGCATCTTCGGGTCTTGTCGCCTTACAGATACCGAACGTACCTGTAAGTATAGTTACAGTGTGCGGCACCAGGGCGGTCGATGCTAGCTGGGTCTCTGCCAAGATTCTCGGTACGACCGGCGCGATTCCAATTCAGGTCCGACCTCATGGGACATGTCGACCTGGGGCACCGTATCAAAACTGGCATGCCCTTTTCACGCGGGACAACGCCCCTCGTGCGGGCTTCCGCCTCTTCGACGAGTCTGGTATGGCAACCATTCACAAGCCTCGTGTGACGGGCTTTGCCCGGACTGGGACTGGTCACTAGGACCACTCCGTCTCTAAGGTAAGGTAGTGGCAGAGCAACGCCCCTGGATAGACTAAAGGGGAGCTAAGGAAGATAGCCGGGAGAAAGGATGATTCTCATAGTGCTAAGGAGGGTAGCCAGGAGAAAGGATGATTCTCAGGGAGCTAAGGAAGATAGCCGGGAGAAAGGATGATTCTCAGGGAGCTAAGGAAGATAGCCGGGAGAAAGGAGTATTCTCATATGGCCAAAGGGGGGAGTTAACACTAGCGTACGCGGAAGACATAAAAGGCAGGATACGATACAGTAGTTTAGCTTCCCAAGGAAAAATAATTAATTCCTATCGAGTCAACGACTTTCGAGTACTTCCGAATTCCTTGGACCTTTTACACCTCGTCGCCAAATTGAACAGTGTAAACGCTGTTTGGGCTTCCACGCCACTCGTGGTTGCTCCCGCGCTCCAGCCTGCTGGAACTGCGGCTCCAACATGCACTCGGAAGCCGAGTGCAAGGCCCTCACTAAGTGTCGCAACTATGGGGGACCCCACCGATCGGATTCTCGGGACTGCAAAGTCAGACCCAGAAAGTCTGGGCCGTTGACAAAAGAGCAGCTCGCATGGATACGCCACCTCGAGCAAGGGAAGTTCGCGGAGGCGGCTCGAGCTAGGGCTGCAGCCAAAAAGGCCGAAAAGGCGATCGTCGCCGCGGCGAAGGATGTCGCAATGGCCGAGGCAACAGGATTCGGAGTGCTGGGACCTGAAGAAGAAGTTTGAGAACACAGCATCCTCGAAGATGTCCCCTTCTGGGGCATCTACTAACAATTAGCAGAATACCGGCTGGATCAAAGGTGCCTGCTAACTCATCTACTGCTCTCAGCAGAGATTAAGTAAATTTGTCATTTGGAAGGTGTGACGGACGAGGGAATGTGTGAGGAGCACATTGACTGGGTCCATTATGGAGGAATCTTCTGGTTTTTTTCGGAGTTGTTTTGATTTTCTTAATTTTTCGTCTCTGTTTAATCAGCTGCACTTTTGGTAGAGATTCACGAGGTTGGAACGAGTAAGGCTGCAGGAAAGATTACAGGGAACCCTGCCGGCTCCGCCTGTCCTTGACCCAATGTGGAAAACATAGCTTTAGCTTAGGACAAAATAAACAAAACATGCCATCAAGCCCCATACATGCTTGCCCTAGGGGACTCGAAAATCTCAGGCAGAAATATGCAGACCTCAATCCAGCAATCGATTATCTAGACTGTGACTGTACGTCCCCAGTCTGAAGGCTGTTGCCCCTACAGTGTCAAGAATCAGTGTTAGGGTGTGCTGTTTTGAGCGCTTAATCGAGATTCTGCGAGAGCATCTGAGATCTTCTTAGGAGTGGGCTTGGAACGACGTGGGAACTTGTTGTGGTGTTCGTTGAAAACTCGAGATAGATTACCACTGACGACATCCGACAAGGGTTGCTAAGTGGTCTCAAATAGGCCTGAGTGCTTGACCTGGTACTCGAATTCATATTTTTTGTTACGTCAGGAACTGACGATAGCGTCAACTTCATACAGGTCCTCGCCAAAGTCATCGATTTCGACGGGAGAATTCGGCTCGTTAGTTTGTCCCAGAGCTGGATTGTTTGGGTCGGGTCGTAATATGACAAGATTGATGTGTGAAAGTAATTCAATTAATCCTTAGAATATTAAGCTAAAGAGAGAAGAAAGAGACTATGAAAGGCGGGGTATCTACCCCAAACTATATACAAAGAACGTGGGTGACATTATAAAATCGGCGGGGACCAGAGCCTATGTGCCTCAGGCCGCCCTCATCATCAGCATTGTGACAAATTGTCACACATAGTAGGTTGGTGTGAAACAATGGGTGTACAGACTTCAAATTTTCTGGTAATTGGAGCTGATAGCTGTGACTATTAATGATTTTTATGACAGGGAATGGACCAAAGTTTTTCCAATCTAATTTTTTGCTGGGTATTTTAGTGCTCATATTTTTTGCATTGACAAAAACTCTATCACCTATTTGATAAGATGGCGGGATTGAGCGATGCTGATTGGCATAGTTCTCGTAAAATGCCTACAAGGTTTTCATATTTTCGCGAAGAAAAAAGCTCAGATCGGACATTTGTTTTACAAAATCATTTGCAAGATTTTGTTATATTTTCAGGTAATTTGATTCTGATGGGGGTGCCGAGTTTCGGGGTGGAGTTATTGCTGATTGCGGATGTTGTGCCGTGTTGGCGAAGAATGGGGTGACTTTGGTTGTTTCTGTTTCTGTATTATTCGCATTATATTTCGCTGAGGGAAGCCACTGGGCCTAGTCGTCCTGCTAGTAGTTGCAACACGCTTTAAGATATTATGTCAGTATACTGTTAAGGCGTTTAGTTTGACCATCCGATTCGGGGTGCCAGATGGTCAATAGCAAAATTTTGCTGTGCCAGTTGCATCAATATTAGATTTACATGCAATGAAATGTCGTGCTTTTGTAAGTCTACATCCCACTACCATGATGCAATCATGGCCTTCTAATTCAGGTAATGGGTATTACGACCGACCTCAGGTTGACACTAGAAGACTCCCTCGAAATATAAAAGAGTAATTGCTTTGTATTTGGAACTAAAGCTACGCACAATAACTAAAAGAAAAGACAAGGAGAGAAAGAGGTCTGCAGCCTCGCTGGGCTGAAAACTCCACCAGCTCGCTTCCGGGACCAACGCTTACTCAACCAGACTCCACATCACGTGATACCATAAACCTATCATCTGTAAACTCAAGCCGTAACAATGGGCCGATGAAGTTGACTGAAATATCACGCCAGCGGCGTTCTGGTACAGGTAATAGTTTGAGTAGCCTTAGGTACTAAATCTGGAGGGAGTTATTTGTTTGCAGGTATGACAGTTGTTCGTATAGCATGTGATCTCTTGTAACATTCCAGGCCACCAGTAGTCCCGTGTAAGTTCTGCAAAGACCTTATTACGACCATGATGATCACCGCTGGGATGATTGTGACAATTCTTAAGTAGCAGGAGCTTTAGTTTCGGAACATTTGGGACATATATCAGATTGTCAAAGTAGAGGTGGTTATCCTTGATGCTGCAACTGTTGTGGTTATGAGCTGTGAGATTTATGGTAATTGTGACTCTGCTATCCGTCGGTGGAGTTACACGGGCTCATGTGTAGTGGTGAGTCGCGGAGATGGCGCACTCACGCTGGGTGATGACACGATGGACACTGAGTGCGTATCACTGTGGCCAATGGGTGTTAGTAGGTATCAAATGTGAGCTCTTACTAACAATGGTGATCTGTGAAGGTGATGCTAGATGCGCATTCCGACGATTGATAACATTATCTGGATGGTTTGATTCACTAAACTCGGCAGGTGAAGAGGTTGTAAAGTACATGAACAGCGTCTGTGCACAAGCCTGTCTTTTCCACCCTTTCCTAATACAGCAGCTCATCCTCCATTCCCCTGTCTCCTAACAACTCAACCGAGCCAGCATAACAGGTTCAAGATATAGTTCTAGGTATCTCTAGAACATGAATAAGACAAGAAGCTACTGAACATCAATGTCTCACAAGTTCCTTTAATACATCTTTCTGCTCTAATGATCCTACTCATATTTGCATGTACCATTCCATTCCTACTTCCCTAACTGCCTTAACTCCATGATCCATATGTAAGAACATACTACTACAAGAAGGATCGTTTGTGGTTAAACTTGACTCGTTACTTCTAAGCTAAGAGATTATTGCAGCATAATGAGGGAAGCGCTAGCGACTGGAATCAGTAAGGTAGTCGGCCATGACTCGATTAAGAAGCTGCTGAGAACGAAAATGATAAAATATGATGTAACACGGCATTTGTCATGACTCAAATTACACGGGATCAAGCCAGTCTGGGGTAAATTATGACACTTTCCCTGGAGGACTGGAAGTGGGCTTAATTTGCCACATTGTTTTTGTGTTTTCGACTTGCTACGCGTACAGAGTTGGCAGCCAGCGACACAATATCTTTTATTACATGTCATATTTGGCCACTAAATATTCTGTTGAGCTAGTTCTATTGTACGTGCAGTACCCCAGTGTCCGGCGAGTTGATTATCATGGCTGAGTTCCTTGGCTTTGATGCGAAGTGATTCTGAGATATAAAGCCGATTAAGGTCATACCATAGTGCGTTGTCTTCTAGACGCCATTTTTCGGGGAGTTCATTATTAAGTATTTAGGTGGCAAATTTGTCAGTATACTATGGCTCACCATAGTATTCCTGAATTCAAGTGCGACTATTGAACTTATATTTATATTTTTGTCTTCTTATAAGTTCAGTCCCCAGTCCTTGTCATCATCATTATTTTTGGTCATGTAGTCAGGTCTTCTTGAAGGAGCGTCGGCTGGATTCTTCTTTCCTTCACAGTGGTAAATCTAAAAGTCATATCCAGCTAACTTTTCAATGTAGCCAGATTGTCGACAATTTAGGCGAACTGTTGATTTAAAATATCTAAGGTTTGCGTTATCACTGTAGATCTTGACTGTGTGTTGTGCGCCTTCCAAATAAACTCGATAATGGATCAATGCATCAACTACTGCGAGGAATTCTTGATCTGAAGTTCCGTACCTAGACTCTTCTGGTTGAAGTTTTCTGCCCCATAAAGCAACGGGTCTTTTTACAACATCGTGTCTATGTGACAATATTCCTGAAATTCCTCCTCCTGATGCATCAGTTTCGAGAATTCTTTATAGATTGGGGTCCTATTGCTGGGGTATGGGCGAAAGTTTAAAGCTATCCTTGATATTCTCGAGCGATTTGAGTGCATTGGTATCAAAATTGAATATTTTCTGTGTAGCTTCTTTTTTCAATAAGTTGGACATTCATGTGCTTGTCTTTGTATATTGACATACAAATCGCCTGTAGAAATTCGTGAATCCCAAGAATTTTTGCAACTGCTGTAGCGTCTTAGGAATGGGCTAATCCATAATTGTACTGATTTTTTTCGGGGCTAATTTTTAATCCTCCTGTACCCACGAAAAATCCAAGGAAATCTACTTCATTTAGCTCAAATGCACATTTGGAATGTTTACAATATAGTTTATTTTCAATTGGACTGCGAAGAACTTTCACAGTTTTACAATGAAGTTCCTGTCAAGTTTGAGCGAAGATCAAGAAGTTGTCAACATAAGAGACAATCCTTTCATCTAGATCTCGAAATGTTCCGTCAATAAAGGCCTGCCATGTCGGTGGAGAATTTGCCAAGCCAAAGGGCATGACTAGCCATTCAAAGCAGACGTCTGGTGTCTAGAATGCCGTTTTCCTTTCGTGACCGGAAGCGATGCGGATCATATTGTAAGCGGAGATAATATCAAGACGGGTGAAGTACCTAGCTCCACGAGGTTTGTCTAGTAAATTGTTGATGTTTGGAACAGGAAATCTATCTTTTGTTGTAATAGCATTAAGATTCCTGTAGTCCATGCATATTCTTAAATCTTGGGAATGAGGTTTTTGACAGAAAATACGTTTGCTGGTGCGAGTGCTTTGCATCTGCAAAACCAGCCTTTCAAAATTAGATGGTTTGTTTGATTTTTCGCCTCAACTCCCTCTTTTTCAGATAATCAAGACATAGGTATTACACATGGTAGTTTTCCATATGGGATATCAATTTTCATCTCAGTATCTTTTCTAAGAGGAAGTAGTTGAGCAGCTCCTTCCTTTGAAAAAGATTCTTTAGGACCATGAGATTTTCTAGAACAACAATTTATTCATCTTCCGAGTACGCATCATTCTCTACTGAGGAATTTACAACTGAATTAGATACGATATCTTTAGGGTTCAGTGATGGCAGTTGGGGTAAAATTTCTTCATGTAAATATTCTGACATAACTTCATACTTATTCGTGTCTTGGACCAATGGTTCGTAATCAGCAGGTCGTTGGTGCATGGTCTTGGAGATCCAGTCGATATTAGGACTGAAATCTTCCAGCCATGGCAACCCCAATATAGCACCATAAGATTTTATGGGGGCTTCTATAAATTCTACGTCGCCTTGAAAGATTCCAGGTATTTTTGTCCACATGAGAGATTCATAGGACTCATTTGAGGGAACCACTACCACCCTATTGAAGGAAGATATCTGCTTATTCAAGTGCGTTTTGATTCGATCGGGATTTGAATTCATTATTTTAGGTACACATGCATTTACTTGCGCCGCCCCATCGACTAGTATTTTGGTCCGGACACCTCCAATTTCGTCCATGACTTCAACCGCTCTTGTGGTATTCAGACTAGCGATTGTAAGTGGCTTTCTTGGGACTGAGCTAGGATGAGTTGAGCATACCTTGGATGGAAGAGCGTCAGGGTCGACGGGTAAAGGTTTGCCTTCTTTTGTGCACTTATTGATAAGTTTTTGGTAGAGATGCATGGGGTGATTTCCTCCATCGAAAATACAAAGATTTTTATTTCTGCTATAATATTTGACCTCTTGGCTAATCTTTCCATTGGCATCAACTACCTATGGTATGGGCGAGTGAAATTCGACGTGGCTTACGAAAAGTGAGATGACGACTGATATCTTTCGCTGGGTCTGTAAGGTAATTCTTGTGAACTGTAGTCTATTATTTCCTGCAATTTTCGCATGTGAAAATTTTCATCGAATTGAACTGCAAGTTGTGCCACAATTTCATAGTTATCGAAGTCTATGTATGCGACTCCTGCGAGCTTATCTTTTATTGGTACAGCAAAACCCTGATAGAATTCAGCTCCCCATACTTGCTTTGGGTAATCAGTTTCGTAGCAGAGCAACTCAAATCGCTGTTTATACAATTGAGCAGTATTTTTCTCCTGTCTGAATTCTTGTCTTTCATAGACCTTTCTCTGTCGCAAGGCCGAATTTTGATAGCGCGCCCGAAGTCTTTGAGCAAATGCCATCAAATTATCTTTCAGTTCAGGGAACATTCGTAACTCAAGTCGAGCCCATTCCTTTGGTGCATCTGAAGTTACATTATCTACTGCCCCTTCAAGGTGGTCTATTGCTACAATAGTTTTTTGTCTATCAGTAAAGTGAGATTGTGGCTGTAATCTATATTTTATTTCTATATCTTCGAAAAATTGGTTGATGTTCGTCTTTCCAGAGTACTTCATAATCGGTTAAATTGGTTTTTGTGGAAAAAGGGGGTTAGATAGATGCAGAAACGATGAGTCTTGATTGTGACTATAGTCATCTGGTAATGTTTGAGTTGGCGATTTGTGTGGTGGTGATTGGCATTGAAATTGGGGGTGTGGCTGCGGAATTTTCGGATCAGAGCGCACATTTTCAAGATTCAGGTTTTGGAATGCCTTTGAAATTGATTCCTGAATCATCTTTGCTACTGTTTCGCTAGTAATTGTGTCGTTTTTTTTTTTTAGGTCCTAAGGTAAGCTCTATATCTCCTAGGAGTCAAGGACCGGTGTACACGGCCGAGATCATGCTTCCCACATACCCGACTCGGTCTCACCGCGTGACTCACTACACAACAAGTAGCTAGTTATAATAAAGACGATAAATGCCCACACAGACTTCCATAACCAAAATTCCAATTCCAATACTCCAATTTGAGGTAGGAAAGCGACACTTCTCGTCTCGTTTCCCTTCCTGTCAAGCTTCACACTATGACCTAATTAATGTCCTCTCCGCTGAGAGCTGGAGACGGACTCGCAGGTTGGCCCCCGAGGCAGCGGGTTTCCTGCACAAAATATGTGAAATTCTCAAGGCACTTAGGCCCGAGAAGCTTATGGACAAAGTCGTGATGTGACATTGTCCCTCGAAGTCGAAGCGTTTGGCGTGCGTGCAGTCGACAGTGAATGAAGTGGAGAGGCGTTGTTTCCTCTCCACACGCACACTCCATGGAAGCGGCGAAGTTATTGAAACGACGATGGCATGCAGCGAAGTTTCCGTGTCCCGTACGGGCTAAGATCAGTTTACGAAGTAGCCGCCGGGAAAGTGCCAGCTCGCGTGGCTTGCGTCGTCGCATGAGAAGACCCAGGTTACGATATCTAGGTGGACACGCTTCTTCCCACCAGTCGTCAAGAAGCGTTTACCTGTTCCGGTTCATGAGCCGACGAACGTACGCCAACGTGACGGAGCCAGGCTGGCTCTCTTTACTTGGCAATTGTCGGAGGCCGGAGCGTGCAGCTCTATCGGCCTCTTCGTTTCCCTGTATCCCGGAGTGGGCTGGTATCCACTGGACCGAGACTCGAGCCTTTTCTGATAACGCTCTAAATTGGCGCACGTCGTCGAAACTTGTTGTGGCAGTTCCCGTCAGCAGTACCTTCACTGCAGACTGACTATCCGTCAACACGTTGATCTGCCGCCTGCCGTCGCTTCCACTGTTCTCCCTCTCCAACAATCCCAGCGCAGCTTTCAGGGCCTTTCTCGCCCCTACAATTTCCGCATCAAGCACTTCACCACCATGCTTGATGCCGCATCCCTTCAACAAAGTTTTTCCATCTCTCTTCAAGACGAACCCCCATGCTGAGCGACCATGTCCCTCCGACGATCCATCCGGGTAAGCACAAATATCCGATGCTAGTACATCTCCAAGGAACCGAGTAGCCTTTTCCTCCTCCTCTTTCCTTGGGCCAGAGCTCGAAAAATAGCATGGCGGCGGCAGAGGCTCGGCGTCTTCCGCGTCCGGGAGTTGACGGTAGGCCCGCTGTACTCGTGACATCTGGATCCCCGGATTCTTGGGTACCCGAGCAGACTTCTTGTACTTCCGTGTTCCAACGTTTGGACACACGGCGGCATGAGTCCGGAGCGGATGTCGGTTGTCTAGTGAGTGCAGTCGAGCCGAAAACCGCAAGCGGTTCCCTTCCAGAATGATCTTTCCAGTTGGG